TGGTACAAGGGTTGCCCCATGTAGAGCGCGTTGCAGAAATCCAATCGACAGGACACATTGGGCCATGCAAGATCAGCGTGTGGTCAAGATGGCAAATGTAATTAATTAGGAAGAGCTTGGGAGAGGCTATGACAGGTTGCTTCTGCCAGAGTTGACTGGGAAAGACAACACTCCTGTGTTTTCCTCTCAGTGCCAGTGGTTCTAGGGCTTTTTGAATTCAGTTTTGCAGCAACTGCAGTAAGCTGAGAACAAAGGAGGAGGGGAGAGAAACTGGGACAATCCAAAAGTAACTGAAAAGTGGGATGGAAGAAGATCCTCAGGCTAAATCAGGACAGTTGGAGGGTGTGCTGCTATCAGGGGCGGGCAACTGCAGCAGACCTGGTGGCCAATTTTTGTACCCCTAGGATCCTGAGAAGGGCTGCATGGACTACCAAGAATGGCAAATCCCAACATTTGAGAAACATATTTTGAGAAACAGTTTGAGAAACTGATATTAAATAGTGTGGAGGGGCTTCCACTTATTTCCATGATAAATTGCCACTCCTAGGGGCTTCTGGGAGAGATACTTTGTCCTTTTTTGAACAGAAAAAGAGCAGTTTGGTGAATCTGAATGGTCTGAAGAAGACAACAAAAGCCTTCTTGGTAAGCCAAATGCAGCCTCAGGACCCCACTTTGCGTATCCTTTATAAGCCTTTTTTTAAGAGTTGCCAACTTTTTCTCTCTTCCAGGGTGCCTCTGCTTTTTAAAGACACATGCAAATAAATTCAGTTGATGATGCTTACCCTCCTGGGACATATCACCATGCTGGCCAAAAAAAACCCCAAAACAACAACAACCCACCCCTTGGCCTGCCTGGATTCTCACATGCCCTTGTTTGCACTCTCTTTAAAAAGCATAAAAGGCACCGGTGGAATCTATAGAGGGGTGAGAATAAGGAAGGATTTTTTCCTCTAGGAGTGAAAGTGCAAAGGAATGGGATGCAGGAACTTATGCTGAGCCAAGGAGGATCGCAACTTGGAACAGAGTGCCTCTAGGCATACCAAGAATGCCTTTTTGTAAGCATGGCCTAAACACTTGGGTTGAGAGCAGAGAGGGGAAGGAGGAGGCATGATTTCTCTAGTAAAATATGGTCCCTGGCACCTTATATGTTTACTATTTAAATAAGTAGCAAGGACATCCTTCACTTTGAAGGTTTTTTTTTTAAAAACTAGTTTTCAAAACCAGAAGTGGATTTTGGATATTTGGGAGAAGTTGGGGACGACTGGCAGTTTGTGTGGCCTATAGAAGTTCCCAGGAAGAGCAAATAGGCCACCCAGACCTGTGCATGGCATAGTGGTTTGAGTGTTGGACTATAACTCTGGAGACCAGGATTTGATTCCCAGCTTGGCCATGAAACCCACTGGGTGACCTTGAGCAAGTTACACTCTCTCAGCCTCAGAGGAAGGCAATGGCAAACCTGCTCTGAACAAGTCTTGCCGTGAAATCCCCATGATAGGGTCGCCATAAATCAGAAACAACTTGAAGGCACACAACAACAACAACAATCTGTTATAAATTGGGCATCCCACTTATAAACCAAAGCAAAACAGAAACAGCCATCCCTTTGAGGCACCAGAGGTCCCTGAAAATGATGGATTTGATTATCCTTTGGCGCCACCTTGTGCTCATATTTGGCATCACACCATCTTGATTTTTCAGCACCTCCTCCAGGATAGGAGCAACATAGCAAAATTGTCATGCAAGTTCTCGTCCCAAAGGAAGGTTGGTGGCGAGTTTGTTTGGTTTCAAGCCAGTTTAGGCTAGAAGAGCCACACAGCTTTGATGACTCTTTGTTTATATGCCGCTTTGAAAAATAATGCAGTTTGAAAATAATAAAGTACAGTACTGTACATGGTATTTTGCAGTTGGGATAACTGATTTAAGGTATTTTTTCTAAGTTTTTCTAAAAGATCCACATGTACGCTGCCCCGATTGCCCAGCAGAGGTGTGGGATATAAATACAAATTATTATTATTATTATTATTATTATTATTATTATTATTATTATTATTATCGACAGTATGAATAACTGATGTGAATAGACCCAGGATAAACCGGGATAAAATTCTGATGCCTTGAACGTGTTTCGAATACATTTGCATCATTATCTCCATCTTTATTCGAGTGTTGACACATGTGAGCAACCAAACTCCCAGAGATGTGCATAGATGTAGTTCCATAATGGGAACAACAAAACCAGAATGCATGAGTGAAATTATTTGCAACTTTGTACTAAAAAAACCTAATGTTTGAATATCCCCTGAGTCTGGGAGTGGGACTGTGCCTGGCAAAAATTGTGACACAACCTGGCAAAACCTTTGTGTATGGAGGTATCCGAAACCGCCATACACAATGTCAGAAAAAATACTTGCACTTGTGAAAACCTCAACTAAAAGTAGCATACATCTCCAGGAGGATTTTGGCCTCCCTGTCCTATTTCACAGATAGGGAAAAAAGAGGCACGCGGGATTTCTCAGAGGTCACTTGGTACATCTGAGGCTAGATGGACTTTGAAACTCTTTACGCTTACCTCCCCTTGGGTTTGTGTGTTGTTGTTTTTCTGTTGGGTTGTGTCCAGATCAGTTTGTCGGGGCAAAAGGGGAAAGTCTCTCTGTGATTCACTTGGCATAAATAGGGAATAAAGTACAGAGGATTGCGGGAGAGGGCTAGTGGAGTATTTCTTGCAAGACATACCAAGGCATGGCAATCGACTGGGTCATTCCTCCATGTTGCCGCATAAATACTGACACAGTTTGGTCGCTTTTCTTTTTTGTTTTAAAGGATCCTTTTATTATTTTAAAAATGTATGCATAACAGAAGATCTCCCCACCCCACAAGCCACTAGCTGGGACCTTTCTGTGGTTGCACTTCAGATCTGTGAAGGAGAGCGGGAAAGGAAGGTTTCTGCAAATAAATAGTAGAAAATAATTAAAAGCTAAATGGAAAAGAATAGGGAGCTGATAGGGGAGGGAAGGAGAGTCGGAGTTGAGAAAAGTCCCTTTTTGGACTGTAGCTCCCCAAATCTCCTAGTGTGGGGGACTCTGGGATTTGAAATCCAGAAAGTGACCTTTCCACATGCTAAACAGCCCACACATTTGTGTAACACATTCACACACTGCTTGGTACTGCTCCCTCCCATAATACATGTGGGCCCAACCACAAACTGTTGCCTCTTTCTCACACGCACAATACGTCATGCACATTAAGGAATACCCAGGCACACTCTGCACATGCTCGCTGTCACTGTTAGACCTGCAAAAGTGTCAGGCCTCCACAGGGTTGTAAGTGTGTATCCAGCGTGTGTATCCAGTAACTAGGGGGATTGTGATTGTACAAAGCGGAATTAAGCCTGCGTGCCTCTTCTATGGGAGGAATAGCTTCCCACGCCACTGCTCTGAGCTTCTGTGTTTCTCTTTGTCTCATTGTGCATACATAAAAACCCTGTGACGTTGCTTGTCATACAAGCGGGATTAACTCACAAGCAAGTGCAGCAGTGTGGCTTAGTGGTTGGAGTGTTGGACTACAATTCTGGAAACCATGGTTCAATCCCCACCTTGGCCATGAAACCCACTGGGTGACCTTGGGCAAGTCACTTTCTCTCAGCCTCAGAGGAAGACAATGGCAAATCTCCTTTCAACAAATCTTGCCAAGGAAACCCCAGGATAGGTTTGCCTTAAGGTTGCCATAAGTTGGAAATGACTTGAAGGTGCACAACAGCAAGTGTAGCAATGCAGCATTACGCACGTGCGCCAATGCACACACAATCACACAGCGGCAGTGGTGTCCCCACACATTATTTCCCCTTCCCATGTTTACATGTGCACACACATACATACAAAATATGCTCCATTCTGAACATGCACACTCTTATGCTCAACCACTCCGAAATTCCCACACACAAGCACACACACACACACTTCTATAATAATAGGACCTGCCTAGTGTTTACTTTCTTTAAAATACAGGTAATATAATTGTCCCTTTTGCGGCGGTGAGGAAAGCAGACTTCTGAGATTTCCCAGAATTACGTCCTGGAGGCTTTCCGTGGGTGCCGTCGTCTGCTTTCTCCACCCGGAGCCCTCTTGATCTTTCGATCTTTGGACTCTTGAAATGAACAAGAGCGCAGGATAACTTTGGATACATTTTTCTCTTCTTCCCTCTGTCTTACACAAATGTTCACAAAGAAGAATTTGATTGTGGGGTCTTGGTGAAGCTACAGAAATTAACATAATGGGAAAGGGAGTGGGGAAATTTTTAATTTTTTGATCTTTTTCTTCTTTTTTTATTGACACAATCACAAGATTGTGGTGGCTTCTTTTGGAAACAAATGCACAACAAGGAAGGATCCATGGGGTCCATCTTTTCAATATTTCTCCTCTCTTCATTTGAACTCACAAAAATTGGCCAGATTTCCACAGAGGCGCATGGGAACATTGTTTCTGTCGCAAAAAGCCATTGCGCTCGGGTTTCACTAAGCTATTTTGTCCGGACACACAAAGGCCAGAGATATGGGGAGGCCAGGAAGGAATGCTGTGTGGCGGTTGCTTAGCAAACACAGTACGTGCTTTCTCTCACAGATATTTCTACAAATTTCTACCCGGGGATGCTACACCACTGTTCTCTCCCTTCCCTTTACATTTTTCCCTCTGGCTTTAAAAAAAAGAAATATGCAACAACCATTGCATTGAAAGGGTGACACAGCTATGGATGACCCAGAAAAGAAAAGCCACATCTGAGCGCAAGATCATTTTGCTTCACACATCATCTCTTCCATGCAAGGTGACAGAGGGCGTTGCGGTAACCTGCAACAAATCCACACTAGCAAATTTGCCACATTAACTTGCTTCTTTTCTGAACAAAATTGTATATCTGAATGGGCAGATGCGATTAAGTGGGGTTTGGGGATTGAGGATTTGGACCCAAGACAGAAAATGGATCCCCAAGTACCCAGAATTGGTCCAAGGGATCTCACTGGATCCAGTTGCCATTGCCCGGTGGATTGTTGCTGGGAGAAAATGGAAGCATCCCACTCTTGAAACACCTTGCCATATATTACTGACAAATCTGAGATTATGGCATGTCTACACCACAAATTCAGGCTGCATCAGTGTTGCAGAAATAATGCAACTTGGTTCCACTGTAACTGCCATGGCTCAATACTATGGAATTCTGGGATTTGTAATTTTGTGAGATATTTTAGCCTTCTCTGTCAGAGAGCATTGGTGTCAAAACAAACGACAAATCCCAGGATTCCACAGGATAGAGCCATGGCAATTAAAGTGATGTCAAACTGCATATTTCTGCAGTCCAGATGCAGCCTATGTCAGGATTAAAAGTCATTCCTTTTCCTTGGAGAATCGTGAGATCTGTAGCTGTTTTGAGGTGGGCCTCTGCATCCTGTCTTTTTTGGACAATGACTCCCAGAATCCTCCTGATAGTATATGGTGACCATGTTGAATTATGGGAGTTGCAGTCCACAATATATATTTTTTTCCAATTCTGCTCCAGGGCTCCTTTCACAATGCACAATTGTAACACTTTGATATTTTAATTGTCATTGATGCATCCTCCACATCAGGGGTAGGCAACCTTTCCCCTTTAAGGGCCGAGGGACTTCAGCTCCCAGAATCCCAGGAGCTATTGGCCAACATAGGACTATTGGCCAACATGGCTGAGGCTTCTGGGAGCTGAAGTCCCTCGGCCCTTAAAGGAGAAAGGTTGCCTACCCCTGCTCCACATCAATGCTGGAAAGTGTAGTTTACTGAGGCCCTAGAGCTCTCTTGCAGAGAAAACAAAGTACCTTGTGAAACTACAAATTCCAGAGTGATGAACGGTATGAAAATGTTATAATTCTATAATGTGAAAGTCTCTCAGGTCTTCTGGGACTGCAGCTCCCATAATCCCTCACCATTGGCTCTTCTGGCTAGGATAGATGGGGGAGAGCCACAAATTTGCCACTCCAGTTCTAAAATAATCCTCACCTCTTCCCCCTGACAATTCCCAGGATTTTTTGAGGAGGGGAAGCCATGACTGCTGCAAAACCTGAGATATGTTTGTAGGATAGATGTGCCCATTGGCCTCACTATAATGGCAAGAACTCTTTTGCACCACCTTGTGGGTGAAAAGGGGAGTACCCTCCTAAAAGCCTGTGCTCATGCCGCCCTCTGGTGGACCGAAAGGGAGAAACGCCTCCGTGGCCCTTTGTCCACTAGGTTGGAGAAAGAAAAGGGACATACAAAGTTCAACTCCCACAGCCCACGGGGCCAGGAAGCGGACACCGAGGGCCACTTATAGGAAAAACTGGGCTAGTGAGGTAGGCTGAGGAGTTGGGGGTTCTGTTCCCTCATCGCAGGGCCCTCCCGCAGCATCTCCCAGCAGCTTTTGACACCGAGCCTTGTAGATGTCTCGCTCGTGGGCCACCCGGGCCATCTCGACCCGCAGGGACTCCAGTTGCTGGGCCAGCTGGGACTTCTCGGCCTCCAGGACGTGGCGCTGCTGGACCCGCTTGAAGCGGCAGGACTGGGCATAGCCACGGTTCTTGAGGGTGCGCCGCTTCTGCTTGAGGCGCTGCACTTCGTCCTTGCCGAAGCCCCGGAGCTGCCGGTTGAGGTCCCGCACAGACATGGAGACCAGCTGGGCATCGGAGAAGCGGTCAGAGAGCAGTGGAGGAAGCTGGGAAAGACCGAGAAAGGAGGACAAGGGAGAAAAATAATGCATGTGAATTGGAAGTTGGAAATAAAAGTACCATTATCACCGAGGGCCCTTTCACCCTAAACAGTTATAGCACTATGATTCCACTTTAAGTGCATTGGCCGCGTCCTATGGGATCGTGGAGTTTGTAGTTTGGGAAGGCATTAGAGAATTTTAAATGTTGGTTGTTTTTGTTGTTATGTGCCTTCAAGTCATTTCTGACATATGGAAACCCTAAGGCAAACCTATCGTGAGGTTTTCTTGGCAGGTTTGTTCAGAGAGGATTTGTTATGGCCATAGACTGACAGACTATGATTTGCCGAAGCAGCGCATTGTGGGCATTGTTCGCAGCAATAAATATCGGGGGCATTCACCATAGAAACCACTATCCATACTACCTGTTTACAGCACTTTGATAGTGCTTTAAATGTCATGGCTCTATCTTAGGGAATTTTGAGATCTGCAGTTTGGTGAGGTACTCAAAAGCCCCTCAGAGAGCTCAAATGTTGTAGTTCAGAGGAACGGGATAGACCCGCCCCCCCCCCAATTAAACTACAAATTCTAGTATTCCATAAGATGAAGCTACAACATTTAAAGTACCATCAAACCACTATATTTCTGCAATGGAACTAAACCCCGAGAACTCCCTTTTTGAGTGGCGCCAGGCATTAACTTCCAGACTCAACTTTCATTTGCTTCTAGAAACAGATTTTTATGATCTTTGCCAGCTTATCCTTCTCCATCCCTGGTGAGTCTATTTTCATCCCTATCCCAGACCTCCTCTTGGTTTCTAAACAAGTAGCGGCTGATTTGGCTCAAGCCCATTTTGGGAATCCCAGATATAGGCCAATATACTCTGTACATGCCCAGAGAGTTTGCAGTCTCATTACTCAGAGACCACAGCACTGCACAGGGATTCCAGCCTTTGGTTTAGCCCAGGTATACAACTTTGACCTCAAAAACCTATCCCCCTAATCCCAAAGATTTAAGGGCTAGTGGTTTATTTAGCCACAGGGCACTTTGCACGAGCTCAAAAAGAGGCAGCATTAAGTCACATGTCCCAGGCCAGAGCTCTGAAATTAGGTCTCCAGAACAGAGCTTCTTTTTGGGATCACAACTCCCAGTATCCCCAGCCAGCACAAAACGTCTTCCTTTCTGCCCCACATGTGGGATACTCCCCCCCCCCCATCTTTGCTCTTCACCTTACCTGCTGCTGATCTCCACCAAGCCCCTCTGTTGCTCCTACGAACCCCTGAAGTTGGGGGGTGGCCCTGCCACGAAGCCCCCCTTCCATCATGGGGACCCCCAAGAGAGCCTCCACAGCCTCATCCAACCCAGGCATCAGCTGGCCCTCGGGGTTGCCCCCTGCCGCGGCCAACGTCTGGTGGAGCGTGGCCATCCAGTACAGCTCTTCCAGGGTGGACTTGGGGTCCCCTCCGGCCTTATCGAAGGTGGGCGAAGGTGGCACGGAGCTGCAGGGGGTGGAATTCAAGGAGGAACTGCCTCCTGGCCTGGAGACCTCCTGTTTCACCTCAAACTTCAGCAGGTCAAAGTCGTCCAGGTAGTCCAGAGCAAGAGGGCCGGGGGTCAGGGCACTCATCCTGAACGAGAGCGGAGAGAAAGAGAAGATTAGGGAAACAAAGCTGAGCTTCCCCCTGACTTTGGAGGATTGGAGGCCCGATTAATGGATTACGTTCATGGCACAAACAAAACAGCATCCTCTTCTGCTTTACTGATGGGGGCAGTGAGGAAGGTTTGGGTCCCCTGAGCCTTCCTGCCTTCCCTCTTCTGTACAGCTCAGACATGAAACCCACTGGGTGACCTTGGGCAAACCTCCTCTGAACAAAACTTGTCAAGAAAACCCCAGGATA